ATTCTATTCTATTTCTATTCTAGATTCTATGGCACTTTGATCGTGTTATTGTGTTGCTCTGTTGGAGGAGCCTGGGACCTCAGGTTCTCATTGTCACATCTCCACTGTAGTTCTTCTTCTCTAACCATGGCTTGTTGACATGAGGTCAGGAAGCGGGTCTAAGGTGTGGTTCTCCTGATCCAGAACCAGGTCCCCATGTTCTTTCAAAGGTTCAGGTGTTTGACAGTCTGATGGCCTGTGGGGATGAAACTAGCTCTGTACAAATGACAATAAATGAAAAGCATTGAATGTACACAACCAAACAGAACACACCTGTGGGTTCTCAGGTGGATCTTCAGGTTCACCGCCTGCCTGAAGCTCTTCCCACAGAGCTCACGCTGAAGGCTTCTCCCCGCTGTGGATCGTCTGGTGGCTCTTCAGGTTCACGGCGTTCCTGAAGGCTTCAGGGCAGACGGGGCACTTCAGAGGCTTCAGCCCGGCTGGATCAGCTGGTGGGTTCTGAGAGTCGACGCCCGCGTGAAGCCGTTCCCACAAAGAGAGCACTCGAAGAGCTTCCGATCCACGTGAGTCTGCATGTGGCGCCGAAGGTTCTGAAGCATGTTGAAGGTCCGTAAGCACACCTGAGGAACCACAGGAGAGAAGTGAGACACTGAGGAACCACAGGAGAGAAGTGAGACACCCGAGGAACCACAGAGAGAAGTGAGACACCCGAGGAACCACAGGAGAGGAAGTGAGGACACCCGAGGAACCACAGGAGAGAAGTGAGACACCCCGAGGAAACCCAGGAGAGAAGTGAGACACCCGAGGAACCACAGGGGAGAAGTGAGACACCCGAGGAACCACAGGAGAGAAGTGAGACACCCGAGGAACCACAGGAGAGAAGTGAGACACCCGAGGAACCACAGGAGAGAAGTGAGACACCCGAGGAACCACAGGAGAGAAGTGAGACAACAACAGGTTCTCCACACCCGAGGAAACCACAGAAGGAAGTGAGACAACAACAGGTTTCTCCCACACCCGAGGAACCACAGAAGATGTAGTAGTCGTGGGGGGAGGGGTTCTGCAGTTCGGTGGGACTAAGGATTGCACCACTGCTTTTTGCAGATGATGTGGTTCTAAGGCCTTCATCGGGTCTGCGACCTTCAGCTCTCTCTGGATCGGCTCGCAGCTGGGATGAGGATCAGCACCTCCAAATCTGAGGCCATGGTTATCAGCAGGAAACTGTCCTTCCAAGTAGGGAATGAGTCCTTACCCCAAGTAGTTCAAGTATCTCGGGGTCTTGTTCTCGAGTGAGGGAACAATGGAGCGTGAGATGGGCCGGAGAGAGTCGGAGCAGCGAGAGTGGTTACTGCAGTCGCTTTACCACACCGTTGTGACAAAAAAAGAGCTGGTACCTGGTGAGGATGCCTCCTGGTGAGGATAGCACCTGGTGAGGATGCCTCTCTGCTGGAACTGCTACCTCCGCAACCCGACCACGGATAAGAGGGAGAAGATGGATGGATGGAGAGAGAGAGAGAGAGAGAGATGGATGGATGGACGGATGGATGGATAATGGATGGATGGATGGATGGAGAGAGAGAGAGAGAGGGGGGGATGGATGGATGGATGGACAGACGGATGGATGATGGATGGATGGATGGATAATGGATGGATGGATGGATGGACAGACGGATGGATGATGGATGGATGGATGAATAATGGATGGATGGATGGATGGACAGACGGATGGATGATGGATGGATGGATAATGGATGGATGGATGGATGGAGAGAGAGAGAGAGAGAGAGAGATGGATGGACGGATGGATGGATAATGGATGGATGGATGGATGGATGGAGAGAGAGAGAGGGGGGGGGATGGATGGATGGATGGATGGACAGACGGATGGATGATGGATGGATGGATGGATAATGGATGGATGGATGGATGGAGAGAGAGAGAGAGAGAGATGGATGGACGGATGGATGGATAATGGATGGATGGATGGATGGAGAGAGAGAGAGGGGGGGATGGATGGATGGATAATGGATGGACGGATGGATAATGGATGGATGGATGGATGGAGAGAGAGAGAGAGAGAGGGATGGATGGAGGGATAATGGATGGATAATGGATGGATGGATGGATGGATGGATGGATGGATGGATAATGGATGGATGGAGGGATGGATGGATGGATAATGGATGGATGGATGGATAATGGGTGGATGGATGGATAATGGATGGATGGATGGAGAGAGAGATAGAGAGGGGGGGATGGATGGATGGATAATGGATGGATGGATGGAGAGGGAGGGATGGATGGATGGATGGACGGATGGATGGATGGATGGATGGAGAGAGAGAGAGAGAGGGGGGGATGGAGGGATGGACGGATGGAGGATGGAGAGAGAGAGAGAGGGGGGGGATGGGTGGATGGACGGATGGATGGATGGATGGATGGAGAGAGAGAGAGAGGGAGGGATGGAGGGATGGACAAATATGAAGTCGGTCGGTGATGCAGAAATCAAGGAACAGAAGTGGCAGCGGCTCAAAGACACACAGTCTGGTCTCACCTGGAAGGCGTGCGGCTGCTGGTCTGTGTGCTCGATGCTGACAGAGGATCACTGAACACAGTTTACCTTATCATATCTCACCTGGCAGGTGTGCGGCTTCTCGCCCGTGTGCACGATGCTGACAGAGGATCACTGAACACAGTTTACCTTATCATATCTCACCTGGCAGGTGTGCGGCTTCTCGCCCGTGTGCACGATGCTGTGCGTATTCAGCTGCGTCTGCCTGTTGAAGGTTTTCCCACAGACGCTGCAGCTGAAGGGTTTCTCTCTGCTGTGGATCAGCTGCTGAGACTTCAGGCTGCTCTGAGACACTTCCTCCTCCCTGTGGATCAGCTGCTGAGACTTCAGGCTGCTCTGAGACACTTCCTCCTCCCTGTGGATCAGCTGCTGAGACTTCAGGCTGCTCTGAGACACTTCCTCCTCCCTGTGGATCAGCTGCTGAGCTCCTGCAGGAAACACCACACATTCACTCTATGGACTAAAGTATAGCTTTAGTGACAGCATTATAATTAAGTCCTCTTTGCAGCTCTAACAGCTTCCTCTCTTCTTGGAAGGCTTTTCAAATATCTTGGAGTGTCTGTGGGACGCCCATTCATCTCAGAATTGGCTTTTTTCTCAGATTTTTTACTTTTTTCTAAAGATTCTGATTTTATTTCAGAATTTACTTTCCTGTAAGAATTGACTTTTTTTTCAAAAAAAGTATTTTTTTTTCAAAAAAAGAATTTTTTTTTCAAAAAAAGTCAATTCTTAAGGAAAGTAAATTCTGAAATAAAATCAGAATCTTTAGAAAAAAGTAAAAAATCTGAGAAAAAAAGTAATTTTTTTGGAAAAAAAATTACTTTTTTCCCTTTTTTTTTTCCATTGTTTTTTTTTCTCAGACTTTTTCTTCAGAATTGACTTTTTTTTACAGAATTCTTAATTTTTTTAAACTAATTCATTTTCTTTCAGAATTTCAATTTTTTAATAATTCTAATAATGAAAAATTGTCTCCGAATTTTTACACTTTTACCTAAAATAAATGTTTTCCTCCCTAACCTCTTTTACATTTAAACCAAATTTTTTTTTTTTCCGGATTTCGATATTTTTCAATGTTTCGAATAATTCTTTCCTTTTCTCTCAGATTTGAGCATCTGTGAGGTCAGACTGATGTTGGGCGAGAGGTTCATCCCAAAGGAGTTCAGGGAGACTCAGTCATGCTGGAACAGAAGGTTCTTCAGAGCGTGTCAGCTGCTGCTGTAATGAATATAAACATGTTTTCTCACTCTCAGCGATGACCTCCAGGTCCACGATGCCTCGATCGTCTTTCAGCGTCAGCGCTGGAACAAACGGACCCTGAGACTGGCCCTCAAACGCCTCCTGCTGCTTCTGCACACACAGGGTCAGTAAACGCACCATGAGCAGAGAGTCAGGGGTCAGTGAACGCACCATGAGCAGACAGTCAGAGGTCATTGAACGCACCATGAGCAGAGAGTCAGGGGTCAGTAAACGCACCATGAGCAGACAGTCTGAGGTCATTGAACGCACCATGAGCAGACAGTCTGAGGTCATTGAACGCACCATGAGCAGACAGTCAGGGGTCAGTGAACGCACCATTAACAGACAGTCAGAGGTCATTGAACGCACCATTAACAGACAGTCAGAGGTAAACGCACCATGAGCAGACAGTCAGAGGTCATTGAACGCACCACTAGCAGTCAGAGGTCATTGAACGCACCATTAACAGTGAGTCAGAGGTCAGTGAACGCACCAACAGTCAGAGGTCTCCTGGTGACGCACCATGAGCAGAGAGTCAGGGGTCAGTGAACGCACCATGAGCAGACAGTCAGAGGTCATTAAACGCACCATGAGCAGAGAGTCAGGGGTCAGTGAACGCACCATGAGCAGACAGTCAGAGGTCATTGAACGCACCATGAGCAGAGAGTCAGGGGTCAGTAAACGCACCATGAGCAGACAGTCTGAGGTCATTGAACGCACCATGAGCAGACAGTCAGAGGTCATTGAACGCACCATGAGCAGAGAGTCAGGGGTCAGTAAACGCACCATGAGCAGACAGTCAGGGGTCAGTGAACGCACCATTAACAGACAGTCAGAGGTCATTGAACGCACCATTAACAGACAGTCAGAGGTAAACGCACCATGAGCAGACAGTCAGAGGTCATTGAACGCACCACTAGCAGTCAGAGGTCATTGAACGCACCATTAACAGTGAGTCAGAGGTCAGTGAACGCACCAACAGTCAGAGGTCCTTGCACGCACCACCACCAGCAGTCAGAGGTCAGTGAAGGCACCACCAGCAGTCAGAGGTCAGTGAAGGCACCACCAGCAGTCAGAGGTCAGTGAACGCACCACCAGCAGTCAGAGGTCAGTGAACGCACCACCAGCAGTCAGTGAAGGCACCACCAGCAGTCAGAGGTCAGTGAAGGCACCACCAGCAGTCAGAGGTCAGTGAACGCACCACCAGCAGTCAGAGGTCAGTGAACGCACCACCAGCAGTCAGAGGTCAGTGAACACACCACCAGCAGTCAGAGGTCAGTGAAGGCACCACCAGCAGTCAGAGGTCAGTGAAGGCACCACCAGCAGTCAGAGGTCAGTGAACGCACCACCAGCAGTCAGAGGTCAGTGAAGGCACCACCAGCAGTCAGAGGTCAGTGAAGGCACCACCCAGCAGTCAGAGGTCAGTGAACGCACCACCAGCAGTCAGAGGTCAGTGAAGGCACCACCAGCAGTCAGAGGTCAGTGAAGGCACCACCAGCAGTCAGAGGTCAGTGAAGGCAGTGAAGGCACCACCAGCAGTCAGAGGTCAGTGAAGGCACCACCAGCAGTCAGAGGTCAGTGAAGGCACCACGGTCTCACCTGAGTGTTGAAGTCGTTGCTCTGCAGTCGGGCTCCGTACGAGTGTTCGTTCTCTGAGAGGAAACTCCAGTTATTATTCAATACAGCTTTATTTATAAAGCACTTTAAAACCTCCAGACCAAAGGGCTGCACAGACAAACAAACAGACAAACAAACAGACAAACAAACAGACAAACAAACAGACAAACAAACAAACAAACAGACAAACAAACAGACAGACAGACAAACAAACAGACAAACAAACAGACAAACAAACAGACAAACAAACAGACAAACAGACAGACAAACAAACAAACAGACAGACAGACAGACAAACAAACAGACAAACAAACAGACAAACAGACAGACAAACAAACAGACAAACAGACAAACAAACAAACAAACAGACAAACAGACAAACAGACAAACAGACAGACAAACAAACAAACAAACAAACAAACAGACAAACAAACAGACAAACAGACAAACAAACAGACAGACAAACAGACAAACAAACAGACAAACAAACAGACAAACAAACAGACAGACAAACAAACAAACAAACAGACAAACAGACAAACAAACAAACAAACAGACAGACGAACAAACAAACAAACAGACAAACAGACAAACAAACAGACAAACAAACAGACAGACGAACAAACAAACAAACAGACGAACAAACAGACAAACAAACAGACAAACAGACAAACAAACAAACAGACAAACAAACAAACAAACAAACAGACGAACAAACAGACAAACAAACAGACAAACAAACAGACAAACAAACAAACAGACGAACAAACAGACAAACAAACAGACAAACAAACAGACAAACAAACAAACAGACGAACAAACAGACAAACAAACAGACAAACAAACAAACAGACAAACAAACAGACAGACAAACAGACAAACAGACAAACAAACAAACAGACAAACAAACAAACAAACAAACAAACAGACGAACAAACAGACAAACAAACAGACAAACAAACAAACAAACAAACAGACGAACAAACAGACAAACAAACAGACGAACAAACAGACAAACAAACAAACAAACAGACAAACAGACAAACAAACAGACAAACAAACAAACAGACAGACAAACAAACAGACAGACGAACAAACAAACAAACAGACAAACAAACAGACAAACAGACAGACGAACAAACAAACAAACAAACAAACAGACAAACAGACAAACAGACGAACAAACAAACAGACAGACAAACAAACAGACAGACGAACAAACAAACAAACAAACAAACAAACAGACAAACAGACAAACAGACGAACAAACAAACAAACAAACAGACAAACAGACAAACAAACAAACAAACAGACAAACAAACAAACAGACAGACGAACAAACAAACAAACAAACAGACAAACAGACAAACAAACAAACAGACAAACAAACAAACAAACAAACAAACAGACAGACGAACAAACAAACAAACAAACAAACAGACAAACAAACAAACAGACAGACGAACAAACAAACAAACAAACAAACAAACAAACAGACAAACAAACAGACAAACAAACGACACTTTAAAAGCAATAAATCAGCGATCTACAAGATGTTAAAACGCTAAAGAGAAGACTACTAGATAACCAGAGAACTCCCAGCATGCACCTGGAGAACATTATGACATCATGAAGGCATCTCAATACTCTAATTTCCCCTCCTCGACTCCTCGACTCCTCCGCTCGCATCTCCTGTGGGCGGGACTAAGTCTCGAGGATAGAAGTCGAGGATAGGAGTCGAGGATAGGAGTCGAGGATAGGAGGAGTCGAGGATAGGAGTCGAGGATAGGAGTCGAGGAGGGGAAATTAGAGAATTGAGAAGCCTTTATTGATTATGTTTTATAGAGGGGGGGTACGTACCCACGTGGTTCAGGATGTGGATGAAACTGGTCTCAGATCTGTTCTCCTCTCCTTGAAGCTCCGCCTCCTCCACGATGTTCAAGATCTTCCCCAAAGCCTCGCTCCCCAGGGTCTCCATCAGAGAGGCAAACTGCACCTGGGGGTCAGAGGTCAAGGTTAGGGTCTCCATCAGAGAGGCAAACTGCACCTGGGGGTCAGAGGTCAAGGTTAGGGTCTCCATCAGAGAGGCAAACTGCACCTGGGGGTCAGAGGTCAAGGTTAGGGTCTCCATCAGAGAGGCAAACTGCACCTGGGGGTCAGAGGTCAAGGTTAGGGTCTCCAGACTCACTGAGGGTCCCTGACCCCTAGATTCCACCGGGTCCGTCTGCGTCACGGTTTTGGTCCGGCCTCCTCCGGCGTCATACCCCACCAGACGCGTTTCAGAAGCATTTCAGAAGCGGAGCGTCTTGCCTGCCGGCTCGCAGTTTTTGTTGATTTGGGCATATTTCCTGGACAGGCTACTTTGTACAGACAAAGTTAATAATAACTGTAATATCCCAGTTATAAACGACATGAATCAAAGATGTGTTGCTGTATTTCAGTGGTAATGCATTCATCATCATAATTATTCTATATATATAATTTACACAGTGCCTCGGAGGAGAACGCTGGCATTTCTCCTCCTACTTGAAAGTTTGTGTGGGTGTATATATCGTATATATATATATATGCTCTGAATGTTCCACTTCCTGCCTGCCCGACATTACGTTACGGCTGCGTCGCGTCAAAAATAGGATTCATCCTAATTTTAGAGGAGCCCTGCGCCGAGACGCTTCTGAGCCGCTTCTGAGCCGCTTCTGAGCCGTAACGCGCCGCGTGTGGTGGAATAGCACCCATTGACTAGAGTGGCAGTAACGCGCCGCAGACGGACCCGGTGGTATCTAGGGGTGAGAGGCTCAGCAGCATCATCTGGACCCAAAGCATGCTCTGACAGACAATCTGAACTGCTACCATCTGATGGGGATCACTAAGGTCAGCCTGAAGCATCCTCCGTGCTCCAGTCAGGCTGAAGCATCCTCTGAAGACCTCTCAGTGAACACAGAGCTACAGATCAGATCACGCTGAAGGCTCTTTGAGCAGCTCTCTCTGATCCTGCTGTGATGTTACATGTTGTTGTTGTTCATGTGTGTTGATGTGTGTTGATGTCACACATGGAGCTGCTGGGATGCAAGGAGCATCTCAGACTTCATCTGATCACTAAAGGGTTCTGGTATTTAGGGGTTCACTGACAGTTTCACTTTAACAGCTTCTAAAGTGATTATAATGCCGTCTCTCTCTCCGTGAACTCAGCAGCTACAGAGGAGATGGAGAGGAGAAACTGAAGGCTCCTCCAGCAGAGCAACATGAATATATATAGGACATAAAACACATAAAACAGATAAAATAGAGCAAGAGGATGAGATGTGCAAGAAAATACAAATAAAATAGAAATAGTGCCAGAAGAGTCTGTATACAAGAACATGGAATATGAGATATTAGATCAATGATTTGCAATCAGATGTTCATGGATGCTCTTCACAGTTCAGGTGTTTAACAGTCTGATTTCCTGTAGAATGAAACATAATCATATTATATATATTATGACTAAATCTTAAAGTATTCTGGTTTTCAAAAGGAGCAGAAAATATAAAACAATCTGAAAGTGTGTTTCTGCAGTATTCTCAGACCCCGGTCCTCCTCACCATCTTCTCCCGGCTCTGGTCCCTCGCTGAGTCCGGGTCTGGAGCCTCCTGCCCGGCATGGAGCTCCAGGCGGATCAGCAGCTCTGGTCCTCCCGAAACCAGCTTCTGTAGGCCGGCCACCGCGGAGAGAACCACAGCCTCCATCACCGCGGAGAGCTGCGAGTAGAGGCCGGGGGAGAGGCTCATTCTGCCGGGGAGAGAGAGGCTGCTGCCGGGGAGAGAGAGGCTGCTGCTGCTGGAGCTCCGGAGGTAGCCGAGGAGCTAACAAGAGCTAACTGGAGCTACTGGAGCTAACTGAGGCTAACTGAGCACGTTGTTGTTATTACCATGCATTCATAAAAGTGACTCTTATTTTTTACATTATAATGAAATAAAAAGAAACTTAATGAGAAAATAAATCCGACTTTTGAGCAGAAACAACAACAAACTGGAAGTGCTTCTGACGTCACTTCAGGGTTCTTCTTCTGCTCACAGTTTAAAGCAGTACCGCCCCCTGTCGGTCCCAGAGGGGTCACACACACACACACACACACACACACACACACACACACACACACACACACACATTCCTGCATGACCCCTGAAGTGAGGACCGGGTCAATTAACATGGGGAGTGAGGACCACCCTTTCTGCTATACTTAGAGAGAAGTTAATTCTGCATTTCAGCACTAGGTGACCCCCTGAATTAAGTTACCACCTCAGCTTATTTTTTAAAAACAAAGGAAAAATACAACTTTTCAAGCCAGTTTGGTATCGAAGTGAGGACCTGGTCTTTGGGCGTTGTTGAGTTTTGATACATAATGGGGAACACCATAGGAGACTAGTTAAGCTAGCTTCTGTGTAAAGCTTGAAGTTATTCTTAGCTGCAATTTCATTTTTAAGTAATTTAAAAAGGGTTTGAACAGTTTGAGATTCATAGAGAACATAATGCATACAATTAATGTTCAGACCATCGATTAGACTGCTGTACAAAAATACAGATAGCTTTTTATGATATACTTGCTGATATACCTACATGAAATAATCTAATGAATATCAGTATCAACAAAACAACTTCCAACAAAACTGCAATGAATGCCATATCTGGTACCAGTATTATATTTATTAATTTACATGCGGGTTGGAGAAGTTTTATCTGCAGTTTGTGCCCGAGTGCATGCTTTAATATTACACAACACAGCAAGAAGGCAACGGTACCTGCAGATAACACACGGAGACTGTCCGAGTCCGTGGCGAAAGTGTTAATTGTGTGTCTCCTATTCAAACACGCGTTTAACCCTGTATAGATCAATCACTACATGTAATCCGACTGTACGATGATTGTACAATGTGAAATGTGCAATTATTTAAAAGTTCAAAAAGGAAATAAACTACCTCTGGAGGCTTTGCAGACCATTAACATGTCAAACACCTGAAGAACACAATACAGGATAGGGAACACCACAAAAAGAAGAATAAGCGCCCTTCGGAATTAGCCATCTCAAAGGGAAAATGAGATTAGAAATTGAGCATCTTTGACGCCGATTGCCGATTTAGTGTCACAATTTGGTTGTGAACATAGTTTTTCACGTTCCTTCCAAGACCTTTTGTTTAAAGTGCTCTCTTTTTCTCACAGTCATCCTTTCCTGGAACTCGCCGTTCATCCATGGAGATGTTTTTTTATCGCAGTCCTTTCGCCTTCAATCCAGGGCCGCTTGTTTTGGACTCTGGGTGCTACTATAGATAGACAAAAAGACAAAAATTAAAAACTGTAATTCAATCAAACATGGGAAACAATGGAATATGCTTACATATGGCACACATCTTTGACTCAATGGTGAATTAGTTCGATTTTGAAGATCAATGTGTGACCTTAAGTCTTACGTATTTTTGCGATATTTTGGGAATGCCTTAAGTGACTCTGTATAATTTTGCATTACTTTTTTGAACTTGGACTCAGCGATTTACTGATTAGATTTTGGAGATCAAAGGCTAAGGTCACTGGGATTAAACAAAACACACTTTTTTCCATAACTTAACAATATTTATGCTAATTATGACAATTTCACAAAAATGTCTTTGAGGATTGAATCATAAAGTGATGATGTTTATTATATTAGAATATAATATAACAAATAATGTAAAATATATTTTAATTACCACTGTCTTTCTCTCCCTCCTTATTTCTTCCTCTTGCCTGCTTCTTCTTTTGGAGTGTTTTAGCCTGGCCTTTTCCTGGGCTCTGATCTATAACAGCAAGACAAACATTTGTTTATTTTGGACAAAGAGACCTCAGGTACTATAAGGTTTATGTGTGTTCAACTGCTGACATTCAAATTTTGAATGTCATCCTCCATTTTGATCATTTTGCGTTAACACATTATATACATCTGAAAATAATATTTTTTTCTATGAGGAGCCTTAAGAATTCAACAAAAAAAGGAACATAAGTCTTCTGCATGAATTGTTTTTTCCATCATCCTTGAATTACCTAATATTGTATTCTTCATTCATAAGATATAAAAAATCATAAATGTACATTTAACAATATGCAGAAGTCTGCAAACATCATCTTTTTGGGAGCTGCTATTTTCCTAATGGGTAAGATAGTTTTGAAAAACATTAGACCTGAATCTCTACAGTGATTGGTGATAAGCTCTACAGAGAGCATCACTTTTCACCAGCCCGCAGCAGCTCTCTACATAGTATCTGCATCATGACATCATCTAAGCCAGACTGCACAAAAGCAGAGTTCAGCTGTACCATCAGAGAATGGGTTTCACACCACTGTCTCACTCTCCTGTACATCAGTGAGCAGCAGACTTTAGGCATACTTTGTTGAATTAATGTGTTATTTAATGGTGCGTTGGTTCTTCTGACTCAAGTATAATGTAACTGTAATAGTAATGTATTTCAAGTCCATCAGCTGTCACAACTTCACCTGCTGAGTGCACTCATATGTATTTAGCAGTCTAGTGTTGTCTGGTTTTTTTCTTCAAAATACATAATGGATGGAATATTTACCATTCTCATATGTTTCACTTTCCATATCCGAGCCCTCATCCTCATCACTCTGGACAGGTCTGTCCTTGGGGGTGGAAAGGTCAGATCCTCCACCTGAAACAATTTCAACAAAACACTTTTACTAACATGACGCTAGAAGCATGGTGATATACAGAACCTTTAGCCAGAACATTTTGAATACTGCATTCATCTTATCATGTCATTGTAATATTTCATTTAAAAACAGTATAATACATTTAAATAAGGAAAGCCATACATTCCATGTATAAATAACAAAAACTGTTATCTGTATTAATTCATTAAGTGAATTTGGTCTGTATAAAACGAGTTCGGTACATCACCATCATTAACTAGAATCTTATTGCTCAAACATTTAATTTAGTTAACATCATGGTGTCAAAAAATTAAATCGTGTACATGCATTATAAATAGGGATGGGACCGTTAAGGTTTTAACGGTACTACTACTCTTATCAATCCGGTACTTTAACGGTAGTCTTATCAGTACTTTTTGTACACATTTTAAAGGGAAGAATTTAAAGAATTGTAATCAGAATTAACATTGCTTTATTCAAATGTGAAATAAATAAAATATGCATTATTATTGTATTGTACTGTACTTAAGTTTAATTTAGAGTTAGGTGTACTTTATTTGAGTATTTCCATTGTATGCTACTGTGTATTTCTACTTCACTACAGTTCAGAGGTACATGGTGTACTTTTCCTCCACTACATGTATTTAATACCTTTAGTTACTTCACAGATGTGGATGAATGATGTGAAATATAACCAAGTGTTAAATCAGACTTTAGTTCCACCTGGAGTAAATCCACAAGCTACCCTGCAGTATACAAAGTCATTCAAACTAGCTGCACCTTTACCAGCTTTGAGAACACTTTCATGATCAATCATTATAAAACATATCATATATATTATTCTGAAATGGACCAATCTGCACAATGACTGCTTTTACTGTCGCTACTTTCACTATATTTTGATGAGAATACTTTTATACTTTCACTTGAGGAACATTTTGAATGCAGTACTTTTACTGTAACAGAGTATTCCTACACTCTGGTACTTCTACTTTTACTCAAGTACAAGATCTGAGTACTTCTACTTTTACTCAAGTACAAGATCTGAGTACTTCTACTTTTACTCAAGTACACAATCTGAGTACTTCTACTTTTACTCAAGTACAAGACCTGAGTACTTCTACTTTTACTCAAGTACAAGATCTGAGTACTTCTACTTTTACTCAAGTACAAGATCTGAGTACTTCTACTTTTACTCAAGTACACAATCTGAGAACTTCTACTTTTACTCAAGTACAAGATCTGACCCTCTTCTAACCCTAACCCTATGTTTTATAATGATTGATCATGAAAGTGTTCTCAAAGCTGGTAAAGGTGCAGCTAGTTTGAATGACTTTGTATACTGCAGGGTAGCTTGTGGATTTACTCCAGGTGGAACTAAAGTCTGATTTAACACTTGATTATATTTCACATCATTCATCCACATCTGTGAAGTAACTAAAGGTATTAAATACATGTAGTGGAGTAAAAGTACACCATATACCTCTGAACTGCAGTGGAGTAGAAGTACACAGTAGCATACAATGGAAATACTCAAATAAAGTACACGTACCTCTGAATTAAACTTAAGTACAGTACAATACAATAATAATATTCACATAGGTGGAAGTGAGTGAGAAAAAAGTAATGGTGCAAAATCAATTCAACTGCAAATGATGAATTTGAGTGACTTATCTTAGGTGGAAGTAAGCTAATCTCTAAAAATATGTTGCTGTCTTAAAACTGATGACATGGAGTTCACATTTGAAGCTTTCATGCCACAATATCAATGCTTTATTTTTTTCCAGTTATCTATACCAAGTGAAACGTCCAAATAAAATCACTCAAATCCAAAATATAGCATGATATACAAGACACCAGCGGATACTACACAAAGCACTATATCAAATACTTTTCTAGAGAACCACAGGCACATATTATGATCACAAAATAGAAGACATTTCACATTATTGTTTTTAAAAATGCTTAAAACTCTTAATTAAAACTCAAAATCTACTATTTCACAATTACCTAAAAATGCAACATAACAAATAAATTAGACAATTTCTTTCTGCAATAAATGTTTTAGATGTGATGATTTTCTTCATGGTAAAATAGCATATTGCAAGGTTAGCATTCATTAAGGCATGTAGAATCAACAATCACAAATAAATTATCTTAATATCTTACCTGTACTGAAACTGTAGGAGAAAGCCGCCTTTCACATCTTTTGTGCTGAACTTTTAGAGGTTCAAGTCTTCTCTGAAATCACTCCATGCTCCTGCCGCGCTCAGTCATGTTGCAGGTTATAACGCCTTGCGTAGGATTCACGTGGGAAGTTTGCTTACGTAGTACA